TAGAATATTACCTTTGCAATTAACTTTCTCTACATTTTGTGTGAATATTTAATGTTCAGATGAGCTTTAAATTCTTTTTGACCTAAAAGAACTAATTGTTATGGTCCAGCAACAATGGACTTGAATGTCACTGGTGAATTATTTTAGAATATTACCTTTGCAATTAACTTTCTCTACATTTTGTGTGAATATTTAATGTTCAGATGTGCTTTAAATTCTTTTTGACTTAAAAGAACCGTATTTGTTATGGTCCAGCAACAAAGAATTTGAATGTCACTGTTGAATGATTTGAGAATATTATATTCATTATGTATTTTAAAAACATACTAGTTATTCAACTAAAATATCTGTGGTTAGTTTAAAATATATTGGGTATATTTTGTTACTGCTGACTATTTAAAAACAAATTTGTGGAAGAATCTTGCATATAAATATGGCAGTTCAAATAAGAATCCTTACTCTGGTTTAATTAAAACAATATTCGGTTTTCGTGTTTGGTAAATTTTTTTTGTTGGAGAGAATGTTTGAGAAAAGTCGATTTTATCATTTTAATTTATTTACAAACAACATTTATCAAATCATGCACTAATCTAATACTCTTCTTTTATGTACTTTTTCTAGAAGTGAATTATTACTGGACCAGAAACACATTTCCTAATTTTGTGGAAGAAGATCAGCGAGTATTTGTATCCAGGGACGGCAACCTCTATTTTTCTAACATGGAGAAGATTGACAGAGCCAACTATTCTTGTAATGTTCAAAGTGTCATTTCCTCTACTGGAAGAACTGGACCCTTTTTTCCTTTAAGAGTTGAACCAGCTTGTAAGTTTGCCATAAGCAGATGATGATTTTGTGTGTATTTCTTTTTTGTCAAACAGTGAAATAAGTTTATATTTTTCTAAAACATAAAATGTCCTGTCACTTTATTTTTAAAATTAATATAATAGGAAAACTGGATTTTGTATCTATTGTATTCCTCTAAGCTTAAGTGATGTGTTTTTTGTTTATAAATATTTTTTCAAATAAAATTTTTTGGCTGTAGAAAAATAAATACTTAGTCATTTTCAAGGTTTTTAAATTTAGTTGTTAAAGTAATAATTTACAATTTTTCTTGAAAAAGTTGAACAGTGTCTAAAGGCTTAGGAACAAAACAGACTATCATGTTTTTATAGTTTTATTTTTTGTTTTTCATACTCAAATAATTTTAGTTTCTGTGTTGTTTTTCAAGTTTCATGAGTTTTACACATTTAAAACTTACTAGGACATTTTATGCACTTTAAGAATTTTATAAGCCTCTTGTAATTTATTTATGCATACTAAGAGGTGCATAGCTCTATTTCTGCCAAACTGCTCTTAATACTCTTCTGGCACAAATTTAATATCTGACCTACATCAATAAACTAGTGTACTTGTATTTGTGATCATAAGTACAGCAGTACTTATAGTAGGAATGGGGCAGATACACAATATATGAAATACAAACTATTTACTCATGCATACCTTTAACCCGTTACCTGCCGTGGCCATTTTGTCTTATCGTGAGCGCAAAATTTATTGGTTTTCAGATTTTATTTTTGTAAATAGTAGTATAACATTCAATTATTTATACAAAATTGTATTATTTAATGAAGTTTAAAGAGGAATTTAAAGAAAAAAAATCCTAAAATACGTTTGAGGCTGAAAATAAGCACTCTCTAAGAAGAAAATTTTTTTAACATTTT